CTGTAGTAAGTTGTCACCTCTGAGAACAAAGAAGTCCCAAGTCTAACTCCCCAGAGAAGTTGTTACTCATTTTAGCTATAAAATAAAAACTGTAACAACAATACTTGATTGCGTGTCAAACATTCAGAGGGAAACAGAAAATTAAAAATTATAGCAGCACTTTTTTAGTGATGGGCTAACCACACACAGCTCTCCCTTGCAGATGGTGGTATTCTCATGTGGAGAAGACAGGGTGGATTCACTTTAGGGATGCAAGCCTCACACTAGTTTTTCTCAGCTGTCATTAAACTAGAATGTTTAAATGCCATGATGTTTTGAAAATGGATTTCAAAATAATCTATAATTTTTCCTGTCCAGAAATTTGAAACTTTCTTAGAAAATGAGCATAGTGTTTTTGACTACCAAAATTAAACTAATTCAATTTCTCAGTACCAAGGAGAATTTGTACACCGAAGAAAATCTGAAAGTTTGGGGCTCAGGAGATAGGTTGGTGGTCTAAGCGCCTACCTGGCAAGTGCAAGGACTGAGGTTCCATCCCCAGTACCACATGCCACCCCTGCCCTGTGCCCTGCTGGCCACTAATCCGGGCATGGTGGTACACACCTGTAATCCCAGCAAGGGGGAGGCTGAGACAGGAGGATCACTATGAGTCCAAGCTGCATAGCAAGACCCTGCACCAAATAAATAAGTAAAACTTTTTTTAAAAAAGGAAGTTTCCCCCTACATAAAACCAGTGATTTACTCTCTGTGACATCAAAGAAGGACTGCCTTTAAATACTGGAACAAAAAAGCAAAGCAAGTTTGGGTAAGGTAAGTACTCAGCCTCTTCTCCACCTCCCAGTGTATCTTGCTCCTTAGCAAATACTACACAGAAAATCAGAAACCAACTTCATGATGCCATCATGTTCCTAGCACGGCTCACTGGGGGTAAAAAGAAGAATCTTCCAATCGCAGTCTTTCTGGGATGGAAAATCCCCCATGGACTGTGGGGCTACATAAGCTGCACACAGGGAAGCCCGTGAAAGTTATTACAGAAGCAGAGCTTTCAGCTCCTTGGTTGAAAGATACTTCATCAGCTATAGTTTCATTTGTAAATGATTTTGTTTTTGTCTTATAGAAAAATTCTAAAGTATTTATAATATGCAGAATAAAAAATCAGCACGTCTATTTTTCAACATTCCCTAACAATGAATTCATCATTAGAGAAAGGACTTTTTGAGAAGATGGTTTACAAGGGCCTGAGTTCAATTCCCAGGTCCACACACAAAAGAAAGAAGAAGAAGATGGTTTAGCAGAAGGGGAAGAATTTCCATAATCTTTTCCCTTTCTGGCAATAGAATTTGATTCATTTCCATAGTCCACTGAAATAAGCCACTGGTTAAAAATGTACGACAGAACCTGCTAAAAATAGACGCTAAGCCTCGAGGCAGGAATGACATCACGCTGTCTATTTTTAAGAATACATTCTAGTGAAAACTTAGTTATATATCCTCTTGAATAAAGAAAAATCAGAACACATAGAGAGAAAAATGTTGCCAATAACAAATCTGGTATTTCAGAGGTGATTAACAAATGACCTAGAACCTGAATCCTGATGACTCCATTGCAAAGCAAATAGCAGTTGAGCTGGCTCTTGCTTATTAAGACAAGAAAGCCCTGGAAAGCCCTCCTGGAAATGCACGTGCTTTCTCAAACGACTTGCACCCATTCCTGGGCTTTTTTCCTTACCCACAAAATGGGGCCTCAGTATGGCGAGAGTGAAGCATCTCAGATAGTTCACATCTAAAAACGAGGTGCCTGTGTCTGTGATGGTCAGCTTTATGCATCCGTTTTGCTTGGCTATGCTACACAGGGTTTTCCTTCAATACTTTGTGAAGCACTACTAGGAAGATTGTTATGGCTGCCATCTAGGTGTCCCCCCAAAGCCTCTAGAGTGTGTGACTAGCTCATGATCCACTGGGACTACAGGCGAGTGCTGCTGGGACTATGGGTGTGAGTACCACGCCCACCCTAGCGCAGAGAGCCTGAAGGCCACGCACGGGGGCAGGCTTGCTCTCTGTGGCCATGCTGTCGCTGCCATCCCTTCCTTGTTGCTCTTGCTGCTTTGCTGCCCTCCTCTGCCATGAACAGTGCCCTCTGCCACGTGCTGTTCTGCCTTGGAGCCAGCCACGTATGGGCTGAAAGCTCCACTGACTGTGGGCCACATAAGCCTTTCCGTCCTTAATTTTAGGTGTGGGTATTTCATCTCAGCAACAAGACAAGAGTAACTGAGACACGGATGTAGTTGACGCCTACAACCAACAGAATGTATGTAGATTATCCTTTATCACACAGATGGTTCTCATCCAAATAAAGGAGAGGCTTTGAGAACAAAACTGAGGGAGGTCACTGTCAAAGAAAACAGATTGGGCCTCAAGACCTGCCTCATCAGCCGCTGAGCCCGCACGCAAGGGCCTGCCTGCGCATCTCAGCCTCCTCAGGCCCACCACCCAGGGAGCTCGTGCTTGGAAGTGAAACTCTCTCCCCCCACGTCTACACATCCATCTCCATAGCCAGCCAGTGTCAGTGCTCTGAAGAACCCCATACAATCGCTACCAGTTGCAGTGCTATTTGTAGTAAATAAAGCTACAAATTAGGAAGTGCAGGGAAAAATTAAATGCTATGGTTTCAAGAGAAAATGCTACCGTGCTTTTTTTTCTTTCAGATGCAGGTTATTTGGGCACAAATATCATTCTTATAGAAAAAAAAAAAGTCTTCAGACTTTTTTTTTTTTTTTTGCGGAACTGGTTACTGAACTCGGGACCTTGCTCTTGCCAGGGAAGCACTTATTCCACTGAGCCATCTCCCCGGGTCCCTTGTCTTCAGATTAAACCCCCAAAATGTAACAAATACAACAGAACTCAAAGAACTCTGCTAACACTGAAATCCAGGTCTCTCTGTTCTACCCCTGATAGAAACCCTGTTTCCCAGGCAAGAGTCCACTTGGGGTGGCTCTAATTGATCTGCAAATTCCATGTGTACAAATCCTTTAATTTGTGTAGCTGTTTTCCGTAACTCTTTTTATTACTAAAAGCCATTGGTAAATATTTTCTTGGCCACAGGAATTACTCAACATTAATTCAGTTCTACTGTCCTGCCATAGTAAATCTGTACTTGCTTCCATTCATACATGCTGACACCTCCAGGCACTGGGTCAATTACACCTTTCCACAGAGTCTTCGCAACGAGGCCCAGCTCTGTTCACACTGCGCCTTACGACATCGCCATGTGCTTCTGCACCTACCTGGAGCTCTTGCAGGGCAGCGATTCTGGTCCGGGCCCGAGGTCCAGTGCCATCACTAGCAAGCTGACCCGCAGTGTAGGACCCACCGAGGGGGCCGGGAGGAGTAAAAGCCTGCACCAATTTTGTCGTATTTTTCCTTTTCCTTTTCCTATTCAAATATCTTTGGTGTATTTCCCAGAGAAATCACTGCTTTCTCCTACTTAATTTTTCCAACCAAATTATCCTCTGCTAGTAGGAAAGCTTGGGAACAAAAGATAGGTACAGAAAACATGCTAATGAGTAGCTCCTCTGGTCATATTCTCAGGTTCATCATGATCTTTATGTAGTCATGACTATTAATAAAAGTAAGATGGAACAATCTTGAAGAAACTGGGCTGAAGGTGAGCTGACCACTCAACACTCACTGAAAACAGCAGCACTCAGAGCAGACAGCCAGCGTGAGGCCTCTGCTGCATGCTTCGCCCCTCAGCCACATCGCTCGCGCTCCTGCTGCCACCCCACTACCACCACCGCCACACAGACATGCGACCTTCCAGCCTCTGCACTCACTCAGGAGCTGCCCACTGACTGCGCTATGCGTCAGGCACGGGACACACTGTGCTGAAGACTGCTAGGGACGTGGGGTCCGCAGGAGAAGCACACTTCCAGCAAGGGGCCAGCAGGATAAGACGGGAGGAGAGAAACACATCAAGACCCAGCTGGAGATCCGCAGGAGCCAGGGTCGGAACCCTTATAAAGGGCTTCATCGTAAGGGAATGAGGAGATGCGCTGGCCGCTGAGGCTTCCCAGACAAATGTTCTTGTCTGAGTGACTCAACAACAGGAATCTATTCCCTACCCTTCTGGGGTCGGAGGTGGGGGCGCTAGCACGCTGGGCTTTGGTCAGAGGGCTCTCTCTCTCTCTCTCACTCTCCCATGACTTTTCCTCTACACTCATGTGGAGAAAGACCAGCTCTCTTCTTCTTAAAAGAGGACTCATTCCATCTAAGCACCCTGTCCTTAGCATTTACCTAACACCAGTGACTTCCCCAAGAACCCACTTCCCAAAACCATCACACCAGGGCAGAGACGTCCATGTAGGACTTTTGAAAGGAGACCAAGATCCAGGGCACAGAGGGAGAAACGCGATGGGATTTATGAGCTGTAACACCACTCGAGAGATATCTGGACCACGAGCTTAGCACCACAGAAGGAGCTCGTTCAGGAAAAGGCTTCCATCCCGCCAAAAGGGAGACGGAGCATCTCTCTATAACTGCAGGCCCAAGCAGCGTGACTGTCACAGGCAGGCCCACACTATGGAGCATATGGGTCCTCTCTGAAGAAGCTCCACATGCCTCAAGGCCCAAAGCTGACCACAGGAATGTCCTGTTCTCTAAGGAAGCTGGGCAATTTTTTTTTTCAAATTGTTACCCTTTTTCCTTCTTTTGCTCTTAGATTTTTAGCTTTTTGGTTTGTTCTCATCCTTCCACGATACGTAAAATCTTCCAGTGATAGCTAATATTCTGGAACTTAAGAGAAATTTTCTGACTAAATCATTTTATAGTTTCCTACAAATCGTGTTTTTCTCAGACAAATTGCCGTCCACTGTTACATAATAGTTCCTAACTCAGAGCTTGTGCATCCTGCTGGCCAGACTCGGGAAAACTCTCACACCGCAGAAGGTCTAGGGCACCACGCTGCTGTTGGAGCAGAAAATTACACAGCACTGGGAAGCACACCTGCAAGGAGAAGTGAGGACAAGCCGCTTCTGCGCAGCTGCTGCTACAGGCCTCCCCCCGCTGGGCAGCGACACACCCCCTCCTTGCCGTATCTTGCACATACATACATGCGCGCGTACGCACGGGCAGCTCTGGACTGAACTCCAGGCCTCCTCACTGGGCCACACATCCCCTGCCTTTCTATGTTTTATTTTAAGGCAGCGGCTGAGCCTCTAATCTGTCTAGCTGGGCTCAAGCATGTGATCCTCTTGCCTCAGACTCCCAGAGTGTTGAGATTATAGGCTTTTATTTTTATAGTAAGTTATTTTTAGTCAAGATACAGTGATCATGCCACGGTAGAAAGAAGGTTTTAAGCGACATCAGCTCTAAGTTCCTGAAGAAGAATTAAAAGTCAAGAAAGGACTGGGGAGACAGCTCAGCGGTATAAGCACCTGTCTGGCAAGTGCAACGACCGGGGTTCAATCTCCCGTCCCACAGGCCATGCTGGCTCCGTGCTGCGGTACACGCCTGTATTCTCAGCACTTGGGAGGCTGAGACAGGAGGATCCCTAGAGCTCAAGCTGTGTAGCAAGACCCTACACCAAATAAATAAATAAATAGTCAAGAAAAAAACCTAATTTCTCATGGAAATTTAGCACAGTATTTCAAACTCAAAGACATACACATACAGCTTTTAAAATCTACCAATATACTATATTTGTTATAAATATTTTTTAATAAGGAAGTAACACGTCACAAATACAATGGCTATCTTAATCCTCCTTCCTTCTCTGAAATAACCACTCTCTGTCCCAAAGTGATTTCTCCTTTAACCGCCCATGGGTCTGCCTTATGCTAAGAGTTCTCTAAAGCACAGGAGGGAACATGGACAAAGGGACCGCAGCTTACAGGTGGCGTTTTCCGCAAGTGGAGGGAAGGAGCCGGAGGACAGCAGCTGGGACAGACAAAGGCTAGGCCAACACAGGCTGTGAGCTGGCGCTGGTCAGCGTCAGGCAGCGTGGCTCCCACCTGTGGGGACTGCTACGAGGACCCTCGAGAACACAGCAGTCACTCCTTCAGTGAACAGTGAATCCTAGTCACTGTTGTAGGCGGCTGAGTTATATAGAAATATGATAGGCAGTGAGACAGGCCCGGCCCTCAAGGAGACAAGATGGAAGACAGGGTGACTTTGCAACTTGGAAGAGACAGACCCTCCCAT